CCTCTGTGGATGTGGCATCTGTTTCCGCTCCTCTAAATGAGTTTTCGGTGTTTGTGAGGTTGCCTTCATTTAAGCATTAATGATACAAAGCATCTGTAATTCCTCCGTGTTTGACTTGGTCACTCAGGCTTAGGGGGTTTTGTATGTTGACAAACACAACATTTCACTTTTTTTAAGAAAAATAGATCAAAGATTTTTTGGGTTGTTTTTTTTTACCCCCCAAAAATAGAAAAAAGCAGCTGAGATCTTTCCAAAGCAATGCTTTTCCAAATTCAGGGAATTACTGATGAATTCAATATTTTCATGATAATTCTTTGTTGATATACTGTCGTGTTTTTAGATTAAATAGTTAAATAGATACACTGTAGTACAAATCACAACTCATTTGCTAAAGAATGAAGTATTTCAAAACATGAAATCCAAAAACGGTGTACTGTAATATTCACCATTTAAGTGATTAAAAAAAGGTGTTTGAACCACTACTAGATGTTGGACAACTTCAACTACTTCAATTCCTAGTGGTGACGTAACTCAAAATTTACATTACATGTTGCAAAATAATTAGGAAACCCGTTGACTGGGAATCTATTGCTTCTACATGGAGTTAGCCACAGCGGACGGCAAAACACGGAACGCGGAAAGCGTGTCGTTCAACTCTGTATATTGTGCAGCTGCCACTCTGATATGTTCTTTTTCATACAGATGGCTCTGTGCTATGATCGGAATGGTGTTGGTTGGAGTCAGTGCGATTTGTGTGAGTACACTATAAGAGTTTATCAGGGTACTATAGTTCACTACAGTTCTTTGCCAAATCAACGACATGTCCGTTGCAGGTTCCAATAGCCAGAGATTTGTATGGACTTATTCTTCCAAACATTGGTATTGGCTTTGCTTTAGGTATGTGGTAATACATTGCTCAGCCTAACATTTCTAACAGGTAATGAACATTTTATGTTTGCTGATACCGTAGGTTTCTGACACCTTTGTTGTGTGCGATGTCTTACAGGCATGGTTGATTGCTCCATGATGCCCATAATGGGGTACCTGGTGGACCTGCGACATGTGTCTGTTTATGGAAGCGTGTATGCCATTGCTGATGTGGCTTTCTGCTTGGGATTCGCTTTTGGTAAGGAAAAGCCAAAATACTAGGGATGTCCGATAATATCGGCCAACTGATATTCATATATCAGCCTGTTATTGGCGTAGCTATGTAATATCTGTAAGAATAGTTATCGGTTTTTCCTCCAATAATGAGAACCAAATTACGAAATGCCTGGATTTTGCCCAATGATGTCATGAAAAATAGGTTTGGGGAGAAATGGCTGTATGTCTGTCTCAATTTTTATCTAATTTCTAATACAGTGGTTTGTACAGATAAATAAATGAAAAAAACATTACCAGGCACTCAATAGTATTTGAATAATTGAGAAACACTGCTTGAATCATCTAACCATCATCTTACCGCTATATCGGTATCGGTTGATATTTGAATTGGAAATTGGAAGTGTTTGGACACTAGATAGGATATCGTCACAAAAGTTAATTTCGGACATCCCTACAAAATATCACAAAAACTCGACAATTTACAGATTTGATGATCTTCATTTAGGGTGAAACCTCACCTGAGTAGCTAACATTACTTAGTACTGAAAAGTATGTATTTGCGACACACAGTAGAGACATTATGGTGTCTAGCAAAACGTGTCATCTCTGCTATTTCTGACTGTTTTACATTCACTCTGCTCTTCTCTTCCAAATGTATTAAATTGATTTAGGAATGATTTAATTCAAATTTTGCAATATTGATTTAAATGACATCACTTTTCCCCCATTAACCGCTGTAGTCTTTTGTTGATGAAACAGGGCAATGTTTCTGTCCAGTTAACGTTCACAAGCCCGGATTTGCACTGCCGCTCGGTTTGCTTCATGCGCGAACGGGCTGCTAGCCTTAAATCCACTTGGACAAACTTCACAAGAGTTGAATTGGAGGCCAATTACCACCCAATTTCAGTTGCGCACGAAAGGCCGTTGTCGTCGAGTTTACGTAACTAGAGCAACCGACAGTAAAGTAAAGTACGGGACTATGGACACCACACACGGACCACAAACTCAACAATGATCCCCCCCCCCCCCGCAGGAAACAAACAGAACAAAGTAAAAGTATTTTTAAGATAACTTATATATATATATATTATAATATTTTTAAATTAATTATTTTAAAGATTGAATCGAATCGTGATTAATCGTCCTGCCACCATATGAATCAAAATCGAACTGCTTCGGGAAATTGGCCCCGATACACCACCCCGGTGTCAAATGAGCAGCAAAAGGACATTTTCTGTTGAGGATGCCAATGCCCGATTCAAACAAAAGTTTGAAAGCAAGTCTTCTTCATTACCCAAAACTCTAAACAGAAACAGGAAGTGCATTAGTAAAGGTGTGTTCACTGCCCCTGTTCTCTGCAGATTTCTGTGCAGAATGTTTATGAAAACTCCATCTGTGACATTGGTAAATTAAAGGTTAATTAAATTCCTAAACATAAATAAATATAAAAACATTTTTCTGTACATTGCCGGAACACGAAGAGAACACAGGTAGATGTACGTTAACTGTTTTACACCTGTTTCCATTTATGACAAATCCAAACGACCGAATTATTGATATGACGAAAATGACAAGAACATGAGGTAAAACCTCAAACTTAGATTGGAAGAGTAGAGCAGGTGCGTCATTTTAGACATTACCTTTTGTATAACTTTCTTCTTAAAAACGAAGACTCACTGTTTGATGAATAGACAAGTGCAACTGGAATTACTGGATATACTAAGCATTTTATCTATCAGACTTCACAAATACAATACGAAAATATGAAGGCTAGGCCACAAAAAATCATTTTAGGTACATTTTTTATTTTTTGGGATACAAGTATTTACAATACTGTGTTTGAAAGATCTGTCTTTGTGCTGTACAGGGCCATCAATTGGAGGACCCATAGCTGCAACCATTGGCTTTCCCTGGCTGATGACCATAATAGGAGTCGTGTGTGTCTTGTATGCACCACTGTGTGTCTTCCTCAGGGATCCACCGGGACAGGAAGAGAAAATTGTAAGAATAATAACAAACATTAATACACCCTGATTATTGATAGTTCATGTTTTTTTAAATAAATGCATATATATATATAAAAAAGAACCACAATTAAAAGGCCTGGATAAAAGAGCGATGCTGTTGGGATTTATGGAGCTATTGCCCCTGCTGAGAAATCTACAGAATCTATGGAAGAAACAATTGTTTTCAAGCTAAAAAAAAACAAAAGTCTGTTCAAATGTATGATTATGATCATCAAAGGAAAATTCATTCGGATGAATCTCAATGAATCATGATTAATCATGGTCGAAACTAGGCACGATTAATGATCAATTCGGATGAATTAACATTGAAAATAAACAGACCAAAAATTGATATGTTGCCGGAGCCGAAAGACAAATAACAGCCCACGGAGGTATTTGTTTTGAGTTTGTTTTAATGATTATATGATTATTAATCACTTTCATTTATTGCGGCTCTCATTGCTGTGTCAAGTGTCGCTGTAACTAGGGATCTCCGATATGAACTTTTCGCCAATATCCCATAACAAACATTTCATTTCCAATTATGATATCAACAGATACCGATATAGAGGGGCAGTGGTGAAAGTTGTGTTTCCTGCTCACCAAGGGTTAAAACAGTGTTTCTTAATAATTTTTTTTTGGCCCCCTAAGGGGCAGAATTACATAGTTAGAGCATGTGTGAGAGGAGGAAAAAGGCGTTTTGGGAGAAGCCGTGGTGAGAGCAATAAAGGAGTTTAGAAAGAGTTACTGCAATTGTGTTTCAATAAAGGTTCTGATCATTTTGCGAGACCCAGGTATTGTGTTAAAGGGTTTTCAATATCGCAGGAAAAAACACATTTGACAGATATTACATAATTATGCTAATATCGGCCGATATTATCGGTCGGCCGAAAGAGAAAAAGAGAGTATAAAAAAATCAATATCTAGTACTTTTTTGGTGACTTAATCAGTCTCTTCCATTTCTCGTCTTTTCAGGCTATATTGTCGGACACCAACAGTTCAATGAAGATGACCACGTACTCAACACCTGGAGGTCACCATCAGGCTGAAACCATGGACCAAGAATATGACGAATACGATTAACAATCACACCAGTGATGCAGATGTAGAAAAAAGGGAACCTAGGGAAAAAATAGCATTGAAACATCAGCCAAGATATTTCTATCTGAATGTCCCAGCGTCGGTCTTCACTGTTTAGTGTCTTCTTCGTTGTAGTATACTGGAGCAAACCAAAGTTTTGTTTTTGCCCTGTGGTTGCAAGTGCTTTGTGTGAGAGATTTGTTTTGCCAACAGCCTTATTTAATTTGAAGACATGCGTCATAAAGCACTTTAGACAAAGGAAGGTGCTGACAGTAAGTGAAGAGTGTGTTTACATTTTAGTGGTGAATGGGGTAAATATATATGGCGTAAAGTTTATGTAAAGTCAATGGAAGGTGCTGGGCATCTATTGTCTATGTGGAGGTCATTTATTGGACAAAAATCAAACTATATATGTACATGTAAGGACATATTAAGGGGGTGCAACAATACATCTTTCGGCTCAGTGGATCTGTGCTCGACTACTTCTCCTTAGGCAACGTCGTTGAGTTCAGATCCACTAAGCTGTGCCTCCCTACATGCATTTACACTGAGGTGCCACGAAAACCACTCGATGCAACATGGCCAATAACTCAAATTAGGGGTGAGATTCATTGTACTTTGATTTGAAAATTCAATTATGATAAATGTTCAAAAACAATTATTTATTACAACTAAATGACAGTGAGGACAATAAAAGTCACACATACTACCCAGAAAGATTCTTAAATGTGGCCAGTCAATATATACCTTACCATGAATCTTTAGTTTCTGGGCATGCCACCTTAAAAAAATTTCTAAGGTGGTCCCTTCTTGATTAAGAAACGGACTACGGTCGCTGTTCATTAAAGATTCTCTTTTGATCTCTCTATTTATTATTACTAAATACGTTAGCATTTGTGTATTTAGTAAGTACGTTTAGTAAGTCTTTGTAATATAAGAATGCACCACAGAAGAAGAATGATTTATCAGATGCATTTGTTTTGTTATTATTTTGACAAGATGCTATATTCGTTCGATATTTCTAAGCAGGTATAACTAAACCAGATATAATTTATTTTTATGGAAATGGGAATTTTTAATCCATAAAAGCGTGACACTTAAGTATTGAACTGAACCAAAAATTTTAAGTATCGTTGCACCCCTATATATATATATACATATATATGTATATATATACATATACATATATATATATATATATACATATATACATATACATACATATATATGTATATATATATATATAATAGCCTAAAACAGTGATCCCCAACCACTGTGCCACGGCACATTAGCGAGCGATAGTGAGAGATTATTAGCTTTACCGTAAAAAACCATGTGTTTGTGTATGCAACAGTAAGAACAACTTTGTGTGGCTTTCTTCAATTCCTGCAACTATGTCAGCATGCTGTTCAACTGAACAGGCCCAGGTTTCAGACTAAGTATGAGAATTGTGAAGTCAATTGAAACTTAGAAGCTCATTACATTATATTAAATATTTCATTACGTATGCTTTTTTTTTTTTTTTTTGGTTCGACACCAAGCGAATTTACTAATGTCAAATATGTGCTGTGGCTCAAAACAGGTTGGGATAATAATACAATTATACAAATACACTAATTATGGTAACACTCATTGGAATAATTGATGCTCAAGCACCAACAAATAAAAACAGCAAACAGATACTGGAACATCACTTAAACATTTGTCAATATTTAGGATGGGTGTTTCTTAGGTGAAGATATTTCTCAAGGGTATTCATTTGTTCAAGACAAGCTCATCAAGAAAAGTGTTGAGTAGGTAAAAAGGACTCCAGCAAAGAGAGGTGCAAAACATTAAAAAAAAAGAGAACTATTTTGACATGTACATGTTTGTGTGTGTGGTGATCATTCAGTGCCTCCTCAATGTTTACCTTTTGTAACTGTCCAAGTTTAGAGATCGAAAGAATATGGTCTTCATGAATTTATTATTTCCAGTAAAGTACAAAGAACATTTGGAAATGTTTTTTTTTTGTTTGTTTGTTTGTTTATTTTGAAGGAAGCCGGTCACAGGATTTCCACTTGTATGTTCCATCTACAAACATGTTGGGGTTGTACTCTATTTTTATCTAATTTATGAAATAAATTATGTGCTCTGTTGTACAACACTTGAATATATGACTAATGTATTAACACCCCGTGACGTTATCGTTATCCATTTCTCAAAAGGCCATAACTCTGCTGCTTGATATTGAAAAGTAATTCCCATTTCCTTTCCTTTAAAATCCGTGGCTTCCACAAAAGTTAAGGTTTGGGGTTGCTATCCAGAAATCAAAAAACAAAACAAAAAAAACAACAACAGAAAAACACCTCTACTACTCCTAATTGGTTATTTGCAGCAAACAATGGCATCATATACATTTCCCGATCATATTGAGCCACCTTACGTGTTTTAAATTCGATCAATTTTATGGCACAGAAACCAACCACAAATGTCACCAATGTAATAAAACTATATAACCATATAACAATAACCGTCCATTTTTTAATTTACTCATATTTTACTTAGTGTGAAACCTGGGTCTGTGTAGCTAAACAAAATGGTGATACACTGACTAAACTCAAGAAAGAAACACGAAAAGATCTTCGACAGGTCTCTCATTTTGTTTGGTTTTCACAGCCTTCTGCTGCTACCTAGTGGAAGGGTAGTTAACTGATGCACTGTCGTAAAGAGAACCAGAAACAAATCATTTGTAGGAATTAAACAGACGAGATTGTTTCTTGGTGACATTATCAATAATTTGCCTTCATGTATTTGAAGAAACTTGTCAAGTTCCTGAAAATCGAACCACAGATCTTCTGTAGCTGTACAGTGGGCTTTCTATTATTTTAGGGCTTTATTAAATGCAGTATATTCCTTGTAAGCATTTTTTTTCCCTTAGCGTACGACCACCGAATGAACGCACACTGTCGCATCACCGCCTTTTAAACAAACAAAAAGTCGGTGCGCATATTTTTCAATTGAAACGACAAGGAGCAGAGCATGTACATATGTCACCCACAGAGGACTGAGTGTGGCTTCTAGTTCTGCAACAGACAATCACTCACATTGATTGTCTGCACCGAGAGGAGGCAGGCAGCAGAATGAGTTACCATGAAGAGGAAATGTGGGAGCAGACACACTGTAATCAGCCTGTCTATCTCAACACTGGGCTTCAATTACTTTGCGGATGATCACACAATAAATACCTTACCTCCTCTTCTTCACCAAAACTCCAAAGAAGCAATGTCTTTTCTGCAATGTCGTCCATGCAAAGACGTTCCATATTTGAGATGGCAACGGCCATTACAAAAGCTTAATGTTTACTTTACTGTTTAATACTTAAATATTAGTCTTAGAGCAGTGATCCAGACAGGAAGGTTTGGAGAAAAAGCTAGAGAAGCCAGACTGAGATGGTTTGGACATGTGCAGAGGAGGGACAGTGGATACATTGGTAGAAGAATGTTAGAGATGGAGCTACCAGGTAGGAGAAAGAGAGGAAGGCCAAAGAGGAGATATGCAGGGAGGGAGGACATGCAGATAGTTGGAGTCAGAGTAGAAGATACAGAGAACAGGTAGAGATGTAAATCAATAATTCGCTGTGGCAACCCCTGAAAAAGGGACAAAGCCGAAAGAAAAAGAAGAAGTCTTAGAGCAGTGGTCTTCCCTTGAGGCAAACTGATATTGTAATGGTAAAAGAAGTGGTGATGCAACGTGGTCACGTGCCTGGATACAACATTTTTCACTAACTCAAAGGGAGAGGTAAATTGTGGAATGGAATGGTGGAACTGTAATTGAGTAGTTTTTGCGAGTAATTTATATGTTTTTTAAATAGTTAAAGGAATAGGTCATTTTACTTTTACTTAAGTCCATTTTGCTGCTTTGCTACATTGGAAAAACAATAACCATTACTGAGCAAAAAATTAAATGTGGACAAAAACAATCTGGGGTAACTGAAAGAAAATTACTTGCGATTTCCTACTTTTTATGTAGCCAGAGAATGTTGACTAATATACAGACCCTAGCCTAGCCCTAGCAAACTTTTTAAATTGAACTGTTCCAATTGTTCCAACGAGGGTGGGGAGAGGGGTGGAGGGGGGGGGGGTGGCAGGTCAGGAGCAGATGGATAGAGAGTTTGTGTGAACTAAGATAAATGACATGTTAAAGTCATACATATGTATCATTTTTGACACCATCTATTGGGAAAACATGGGTATTGCAGGGAAAAGGCAGAATTATAATGGTAATGTAAATAAATGACATAATTTGAAAAGGTTTGGCCTTAGCTTGCCCATGCCTGATCTAGTCTGTTGATGGTCGATGGGTGGTGCAGAACAAAAAAATGCAGGTTGAGGATTGCCAAGCACAGGACTCGGAAAGAGAAGGAAATCCTTGAGAATATCTCAGTCCACTCTTTGTTTTCAAAGGCAAACATGTGAAATGATAGATTTTAATATATAAGTCACACCTGCTAAAGGATGAAAACAAGTGCGACTTACATTTCGGAAAATACGGCACACCTATCCTCCATACTTTTACTTCCTTGCGGCACCAAAAAAATGTACATTTGGTTGATCTTGCACAATTGGCAAATGAAGTCATCGTAAAATATTCGAACTCCTGCAACTTGGTGTGAAACACCATCCACCAACCACTGTCTCTACAGTTCTTCTGTATTCCGAATAGAATAGAACACAGAACACAGCTGTAGGACAGGATTTGAGCGTCTTTATTTAGAGTATGTACAACAACAACACCTTTATCAAATTAGCCTCCGCAAATGTTCCCAACCCCTCGCACCACACACACACATATTCACTCACGAGAAAGCAAACAAAAACAGCAGGTTAGCCTGTTGAAAGCTGTGGCAGGCTGCCAGATTGGAATAGCAGATTTAAAGGTTAAAGATGGGCGAGCAGCAGCAGCAGCAGCAGAAGCACTGACACAGCTGGTCTGGTGGTCTCCAAAATTCAACTCACAGGAAGACGAGCACATCAAAAATGTCAGGATTCATGGCAGGTCAATTTTTTTTTGTTTTTACATTTTCTACAAAAGCATTGCACAAAGGTCTAAATTAAAAGTGACCAAACAAACAGACAGATATAGCAGCTGGTTAGTGAAAACCTAGACGCTGTACGGCACATTTTGCCGATGTACAACGTGAAGAAATGTGGCCTCGCTTTTGTTGTCGTGCTTGTGCAGCCACCTTCCTTCAGAGGTCCAGTTCTCCACATGAAGTAGAAACTAAACAGCAGTTCAACTGGGTAGTACTAATATGATTTAGTACCAGAGATGTGTCACTGAATGTTCTTCAAGCCATCGAGAGAAAGAAATAAAAAAAACAGCCTGAACTTCCTTGTTTTCTTATATTCTATTGTCTTAAAACCAACAGCCTATGGGTAAAGGCTGTTTTTTTTTAAACAATACAAACAAAACAAAAAAAAAGCCAGCAAGCTCCCTGAGCAAACAGGAAGATGTGCAGTGTCAGTTCTCCAACAATGCAGCCCACTTGTTGAGTGAAAAAAAAAAATGCACATGGGGGAAAACAGGGACTATTGTTATTGTCTTACTTATAGGTAATTATCTTATGATTGTACTCGTCCGGCCCACTTGACATCTAATTAGGCTGTATGTGGCCCCTAAACCAAAATGAGCTTGACACCCCTGGGTTAGGGGCTACTGTAAATAGCTATAAAAATTCTGGGTCATCTATTCTGTTTCCTTTGAGTGCCTGCTGCAGAAAAACATAAAGTTCTTGGGACTGGTTTTGGACTGAGCACATGACTGCACGCAGCACAGACGAAGTAGTTAAATGACACTTTGCGATTTTAGGGTCTTCTGTTGGGACTTGACGACAGCCAGCGCAAAACCACCTACGCATGTGACTTAAAAGAACCTCATTAGTTCTCTCACTACTTTTGCGAAAAAACAAAAATGTGAGCCTGACATGATCAGCTGGATGTCGGTGTTCAAAGTGTTGGATTTAGTTTGTTGTTCTGAAGGATGATTTTACAAATAGCGAGTCTGACAATATTTGACAAGTCACATCTACAGAAAGGGGGCACTGTAAAAAAACAAAAAACTTTGGGAACCACCGGTTTAGTTCATTAATTTTTTATTTCCGATTTTCACTGTTCTTTTTTTGCTGGTAAATAATCAATAAGCTTACCGCTTCAAAAGCCAGGAGTAAAGAAAGTGCGGTTTGCACAAATAAGCTATCACCTAATCGTTGGCATCGCAATGACATAATGACAGAATCTACACAAACATGTTACCCTGCCCACAACCACAGTACAATGATTAGATATGCAGACGATACCACCATCCTGAGTAATTATTCCAACTCGTGTTGTAAGCTGAATGAGTCATTGTGGAATAATTGGTAGACTGTTGACGTTTTCTAAAGAACATAATCAAAATTACATGACCCTGGACTAAGTCTATAATCTGGACTCACCTTGTGTCTCACGTTCTAACGGAAGACCTGCTATGTCCAGGCTACATGAGGGTTAATTTATTAATTTTTTTTTGTTATACTAAAATAATTGAAAACATTTTGTTCACATGGTTATTAGCGTTTGTTTGAATTTGCTTGTCCGGGTAAAGTGGTTGACCAGATACTACAGTAGAAAGACATGACAGTGCAATAACAAAAATGTTATTTACCGATATAATGTTGAAAATTCTCTGTCAACTTCATATGAACGCAGAGACATTTTAATATATATTTATAATGAATGACGATTAAAAGAACATCTGGATGGACAGCACTGATCAAGAATTTGAGAGACTCAAAATGTATGTCCTCAATACAGTAATTGTCACACAAATATCATATAGCGTAATTTCCAGAGTATAAGTCACACCAGCTAAAAACAAAACATAATTAAGAAGAAAAAAATAAAAATGTTTAAGTCGCTGCAGAGTGTAAGTCGCACCAGCCAAAGGATGAAAAAAAGTGAGACTTACAGGACTAAAATTATATTTTATAATGTGAAATTATATATTGTAATACATAAGTCGCACCTGAGTATAAGTCACAAACCCAGCCAAAGGATGAAAAAAAAAAAGTGCAATTTATAGTCCGGAAAATACGGTACTTGCTCTTTGATAACTCACCGACATACTGTACATGTCATGATAAACTGACAGTTATTGTATTATTTTTACTTTTATTATTTACGGTTTTAAGGTTTGAACATCACTTTTTCTTTTCGATGCTGGAAACTTTTAACCGATAGTGACCGATAGTTTTTTACACTAAAGGCTGTGCGCGCTAATGATTGTTACACAGCAAATCATTCCGGAATCAGTAGTATCAATATAACAGACGGTGTCAAACAACACACCCAGGTTGAACGTACATTCATACGGGAATGAAAATCACTCATGAAGGCAAATGAGCAGCTACACACTACATCATGTTTGCTTTGTGCATAGAAGACAACATTACAGTAACACACTTGTTGTAGCATTGAGGACAGCCATTCACGCAGTGCTACTCTGACCCCCGACCAAGACCCTCCCCACCCAGGCAAATGCTCCATACAAAGAAAAACACAAATGAGTGTTGAATCTTAAAGAAACCTACCACTACAACACAAAAGGTCCGCACAGCGGTAAAAACACAAAAGGATAAAAATAAATAGAGGCTAAACAAATTTTAATATCACATTTGCCTCATTAATAATCAATCAAACATATATTAATAAAATCAATGTGTCACATTTTGTCCATGACATGCCTTAGCAGAGGTTTTTTAAGGATGGGTGACATCGATACACAAGTTTACAGGATAAAAAAAACCCCACATTATTACTGTGTTTAGTTTTTGAGGACAGGCACTCTTATTACAACCTTTCCAAAAAAGAATTTTTGTGTGATGAAACTTTAAACATAAATTGGCCGTTCTGACAAAAAACGGAAAAATTAGTATTATTCAATCGGAATATTCCACCGTCAATACACTATATTAAGAGTCGCTAGGCATGATGAGATGTTCCACACTTGGATGGGTAAACCTGCTCTGTCTTAGCAGCATCTTGGATTAAAATGTTACTTTTCTACACACTCAAAAACAAAAATCCAACACTGAAATGAAGAGTAGAATGCCCTAATATTTACAACACCGGAGGTCCATCTCTTTATGCAGTTTGACGAGAAAGTACAGAAAGTAAATGCTTACGACAAATGTTGGAAATCACAGACGGATTGAAACATGGCAGATAATAGTGCAGCTTTTTTCATTTTCCCTTTAAAACCAATAGAAAAGACGGCGACTGTTCCACAATGTGTGAGTTAAAACGGATTAAAGATTCAGAAGTAACTAAAGAGAGATTTTTTTTGTTTGTTTGTACTTTTTACTGTAATGTACACTTCATTTGAATAAAACACAGGACGTTAACAACCCCACTGATTACTGAGATTCACCAGAAAAAAAAAAAAAACGAAAAAAAAAACAAAAACTGCACACAATGTTATGGGGGACATGACCTTAGGACATGTTCCTTATTCTAATGCAGGGGTGTCAAACTTACGGCCCGCTGGTCAAAACTGGCCCGCTAGTGAGTTAAATTCGGCCCACTTGATGAATTTTGAAACGAAAAAAAAAAATACACAAATACTTCATGTTATGTTATTATTTATAGGTAATCATTAATATTGTACTGCTCCGGCCTGCCTGACATCTACTTAGGTTGTATGTGGCCCCACAACCAAAATGAGTTTGACACCCCTGGTCTAATGTTTTCCTCAGTGGAGTGCCTCCACGCAGATCTGCTCCTCAGTAATGTCGTCCAGCAGTGGGACTTCCACGGGGCTACAGATGTCACTGTCATAGACTTCAGTTCCCATCAGAGCCTCCTCCTCCAGGACCTCCCCTTTCCCTTTAAAACTTTGCTGCTCCGAAGGAGAAGTGCTCTCCACTGACTCCAGGTCCTCGATGCCTGCGCGGTAGTGAATCATCAACAAGGTGAGTGCCTGCAGCCTCTCACTTGACTTCGCCAGGGCAGTACTTATAAGGCCCTTGCGTCGGGCATCTGTGGCCTCCCTCTCCTCCATGTGAAGGGCATTATTGTGCTCCAGCTCTTGGTCGATCTCCTGCTGCAACTTATCCAGCATCAACTCGAGCTTTTGAGAGCGCTCGTCTGTGGGCAACCCCCTGTAAAGGTCGCGACCTATCTCCTTTACGGCAATATAAACGCTGTCGTCCAACCCCCCCTCCTTGCGTACGAGTTTACTAGTACCGCCGCTGCTGGTAGGCTGTTTGGACGGGCTTGCTCCACTGGTGTACGTCTCAGTGTCGCTACTCTCATTGTCGGAAGTGTTGGGCGTATGCTTGGGTGAGGGTTCCACTGCACCAGGCACAACGTCAACTACCTGCTCAACAAGCCGAGTCTTGGGCACTTGGCGGAGGTTGAGCAGACGGGAGCTGGTGTTGAGGATATGGCGCGTTATGCCGGTAGTCGCCCGGTTTATAGTAGATTTGGCTTCTAGGTCTGCTCCGCGACGTTCAGTTGCTGCCACACAGAAAGGGTTCTCAGCCAGGCACTTGTCCTGACACTTCTTGTGGCAAACATATGTGCATGTCATGCACTGGGAAGCTGCCTTGGTCCAAACCTTCTTCTTGCAGTACTCGCACCACGTAGGATTCTGGAACTGTGTGTCCTGAAAGTTGTGACGAACCTCCACTTGCATGACATTGTAGGCCAGGTCGTCACGCGGCGCTGAAGGAACCTGCTCCTTCTCCTTTAGCTCCTCCTCATTAAGACTGCCCTCTCGCTCGCTTTCCAGCAGCCCTCCAGGACACTCAAAGTCACCCTCAGCCAAGTAGTGAAAGTTCAGAGTGATGTCACCGTAGCATAGCTTCTCATTGAAGCCCTTGTGAGAGCTGAAACTGCGCAACGCGGTGCGACTAACATTAGCTTTCGGGTCTGGAGCACCCAACCTAAAGGTGCTCTGATACTCTGCTGAGGATGTTGCCATACATTCCAGGGCTACGTGCTCTAGCTGGAGGCTCGCGTGACCTAGGCATAACAAGCTCCCCAACTTAAAGGGATCTTTGCACCACAAAGCAACATTCAGGTACTTGTGACTGCCTTCAATATCAAACACAACAGAGGCTTTGGGCCAGCGTGCTGACTGGTTACGGAACATGGTTTCTGGTGACTCCCAAATGGATTGTTCTTCTAGACTGTCTCGTGTGCTGCATGAGCTCTCCGATGCCTTGTCCTTTTGATCAGTCCTGCCACCGCTGTTGGCGTTGGAAGAGACTGGCAGCTCCTCACAGGACTCTGTCGTCTTGGTGAGCTGCTTTGCCTCTGTATGTTTGACACATATCTTCTCGTCACTAACACTAGAAGGAGGAACCTTTTCTGGTGATTTTTCAGCAGAACTGACACTTGCAGTGAGAACTGGGGCAACAGTAGAGCCGGTACTTGAAAGAGAATCAACGCTTTCCAAAAGACTGGTTTCTGAGGAGGCTGAAGTCAGCTTTATTTGAGGTCTTGGTGGTACTGGGGGGCGAGAAGGAGGAGGCGGAGGAGGAACTGTAGGGCGCTGCAGACCCTCTGCAGCATCAGTACTAGTCTTATTTGGTGTGGGCTTTGATGACTCTTTGGCCAGGGGCTTCAGAGGGGACTGAAGACCCACCAGGTTTAACTTGCGGTTGAGAATGGGTGAAATGGTGCCAAGGGGCTTAGAGGCCAAATTGGCCACAGTTCTTTTGGGGCTTTGGTTCACTGTAAGTAAGGAATCATCTTTAGATTCACCAGTGTTTGCTATACTGCTGTTAGGACCGCCAGGATGGCTGGGTTTGGAGTCGACAATTAACTCTTCAAACTCAGAGTCCATGTCTTTGCTCTCCGATATGTCAGAAATAGTAGTAATTGGGGCGGGGTCTTCCTCATAGCCACTTGGCTGTGAGATAAAACCAGTTTCCTCAAGCTGCCCATACCCTTCTTGAAGAGGTGCCAAGCTTCCCATAGAAGACGTCTGGTGACGAACAGGTCTCTCGTAAAGTACCATGACCCTGTCTCCAGCCTGCTTCAACAGTTTGGGCACTTGAACAGAGGATGTTACTTTGACACCTATAAACAGACACAAAATAAAGAAAACACATAAAAATGTTTAGTTTGAAAAAAAAAACAAAAAACAACATTAACTCAATGAACATTAGATGTGATCACAAATAGTACCCACTTTGTGGTTGTCAAAAAACTTTTTTGATATATCATACCCCCAATGGCGATGAGACGATCGCCTCTCTGCAGATCCGCCACGGCTGCAGGGGAGTTGGGTGTGACTGTCTCAATGCTGACGTGGACTGCATCCCCCTCAGTAGCAGAAACATGCCTGAAGGTCATCCCCACGCTACCACATGGCCCCTTTATAACCTCCGTCTGATACATAGACAAGTCAGTACGTAAACAAAGTGATCAAAATCAGCATAATTCAAAGGTTAATGGTGACATAAAAACAATTACTACTTATCTACTTTTGTACTCACTGCTGATAATACTGAGTTACTGATGATACTACCGCTGCTTGGTAGTGGTATTGTCACTAATGAGCAGTGATTGTACTCAGGCAGAGGTTACCAAATTGGAGGGAGTGGGGGGCCCCCCAACCCTGCCCACACACTAAATCTAACTGACCAAAGTTGGCAATGCTACCATAAAATTGGGGGCCAGGAGGCAGAATTTTTCTTATGACCAAAAGGGGAGACCCAGCTGAGAAAGTTTGGGACCTACTGTACTAAGGACTTTCATGAACTATTATGTGTTTTTTTTTCAAACAGAAATCCTTTACGGTGGCGCTTTGGCCCAGAGGCAATGTCTCTGTCATTGGTGTAGAACCCCAGGATTCACCTCCTCGGCATGTTCGAATCCCAGTTAGGGCGGTTGGTACCTTCCAGTGGACTCACCACCCGCAGGAAGGTTTAGGTATGGTGCAGTGTGATTTGGGTGGAGACTGCTGCCCCCGCGACCCGGTAACGGATAAGCGGATGGAAATGGATGGATGGAAATCTTTTACTTTTATTTTTTTCTGTGAATCACATAAATAAATAAGACAATTGGACTGAATTTACTGCTGGATACTTTTTATGCATATGTGAACTGTTAGTACCTGAATACTTACAGTGAGCCTAAATGAGCATAAGTCATTGTTCAAAAGCACAACAACATTGTTCCAAATATTCACTGTGAACTGCTTTCAACACTTTAGGGAGCTCAAATTGAAAGTGGCAATTCCGTGGGTGACGAATGACATGCAATTAAACCGCCAGCTGCACACAGTCTAGGTAAGTCACAAGCCCACAAAACACCTGCCAGGACGTACAGGTGGCAAGCATTGCAGCTGACAAGCTGTTTGTCAAATGAAAGTACAAGTACGGTATAGAAAAAAAATCACACTATTCTGATTATAGATTTTTACTTTTCAAATTCCACCTGGGGTGGGCAGAGACTGCTGGCTTACTGGACAGATAAGAGGAGAATGTTTTTCTTTTCCATTGACTGTAGAACCACTAGATGAAAAGAAGAAGCAAGAGGGACAAGCATTCTGGCTTAAAACAGAAAAAGAAGAGCCAATTTGATGTGGGTTGACATAGATAAATGACTGTAATTTCCCCTGCCTGTCATTTCTTCGAAGCTCTGGTGGAGGGCAGTGATTGAGTTATTGTGTCGGCCTGGATAAACAAATGATCTCTAAACGCTAGAACATTTCAGCTCAAGAGCATAAACTTCAAAAAGCACCTCTTTTATTTAAGATATTTTAAACCTTATGGTTTGGTGCCCTGTATAAAGATGTTGTTGACAAGGGATGCAGCAGTAATAGGAGCATGGGGGTTCGGTATATACAGTACACAAAAGTAACATTGTTGCACTGGCTAGTATGAGAAGGTACATTATATCATGATTTTTCTTTACAGAAACATTTTAAGCAGGAACATCCGGGTCATCAATCTGATCAAACTAAGAAAATGTTGGTTTGCAAACGAAATGTTCCGCAGGTCATCAAAAGGCAAACCAGACACAAAAAATAGAGTAAAAAAATGTATTTTCCAAAATTAACAAATGCAGCTGTTGGTATAAACCAAAATAGATCACTTTTGGTATTATGTATTGCATGATCCTATAAAATCATTTGAAATACTATGTTTATATGAATACTAAAATCAGAAATTCATCTGACTGCTATTAATGTATCTGTTTTTGACCCGCAATTTTGAGAGACACATTTTAGAGAGTAGAAACGTAAAGATAAGTCAGTGGTTCTTAACCTTGTTGGATGTATTGAACCCCACTAGTTTCATTTGCGCATTCACCGAACCCTTCGGTGACGGCCAAGGAGGGGGTGCGTCATCAAGAATCATATGAGAACCCCCGGGGTTCGACCGAACCCCAGGTTTAGAAACACTATGATAAGTGAAACGACGAGTGTGCGTATGTGTATCTAAAAGGTAAATTAAGGAAAATTAGAACGATGGCCAGACGGATGTGCTTTGTTGATGCCAAACTAGGATTTTCAGCATTACAGCAACATAGTACAGTTAACGTGAAGACAACAACGAAATAGCAACAAAGGCACTCGAAGTGTGTGTTTGGTTTAGCGTGTAAGACTAGAAAACACATTCAGGGATTTGAGTCTTTACAAAAGATAAAAACACAAGACTGTGTGTGTGTTAGGGTTTAATCAGATCTGGCCGTGTTACAGCTCTTTCACGAAGACTAACAATATTGCAGAGACAACCGGTCGCTGTAGGGAGAACATGGACCTATTCTGCTTCGCATTACACAACGACCATTACTAGGAGAAAAATCAATGCCATGTTCCTCCGAGTAATTTATGTGAAGAATACTAAGTTGTTGATCTCTAGTCGACTTTCATTACATTAGAGTTGACTGGTTTAATTGATAGTGATGGATAGAAAAACATTGCCTACGGAGTGGCTGACAATAGTGCATAGAAGCTATTGAACTTTTTTTTTTTTTTTTTTGGTAGAGATGGCTCAATGCAACTTTTTGTATGTCTGATACTGAAACCGCAACTGTGACTTGGAGTATCTTATTTTCTTCTCCGGAATGCCTATGGCTAAGATTGCTGAATGTCCCTCTAGTGTCCCCGTTTACAGCATGTCACACAAAGTAGTAGTCGAACACAAGGGATCAGATCGTACGGGTTGTAGTTTAAAATTTTGACAAATATTGGACATACGCTGATCTTAGTATCGGTTCAAGTCATCTCTGGTTTTTGAGTGCAAATCGTACTCTCATACACAGATATAAAGTCAATACAGGACAACTATCATGAGGTAAACTTGAAATAATATACAAAACAAGTCAGGTCATTTCAAGGATTTTGAAGATCAACCGCCTAAGTCAAAGTGAGATCTTTTTTTAGTGAATCAGTCAAACGATTCAGTGTGTTAAGAGGGTCAGCTCTGTCTGTATTATTATAATTCGCACACTGACTGTCACTACGGTGATAATTTGACCTAAGAGAGTAAGAACTGCTGAAAGCTGAGTGGGGTGGGGGTGGGGAATATCCCTAATTAAAGCAGCCCTGCAGTTGTGTGTACAGCTGCACACTGCACACAGTGACTGCAGTGTGTACATGCTGCTTTAAATGCATTCACAAAGAAGGGTGTGAAGTGCAAATGGCTGCGAGCTCTCTGTTGTTCACTCGCACCAACAATATATGCACAGTCACAGAGCCCCGTAGGCACCTAATTATATCTCCAGTAGTCATACTGGCGCTCTCCAGCTGAAGAACTGTTTTCACAGAAATAAAGCAGATCTTCTACATCGAGCTGTTGCGCGAGTGAATTCAGACGGACAAGAAAATGATAAGAATTGCCGTTGGTTTTTCTACCATTGTGGAGAGCACATTACACAAGAGATTGCAACAACAAAGCAATAACCTGTTATAAATCCAGGGTCAATGTTGTAGAAGCTTAAAATCCTATAATTTTAAGGAGCTCATTACACTATATTTGGCTTTGGAAATCAAATTTGATGTGGCTCTGAATGATTACTCCACCAGAAGTTGGTGTCTGATGCTTCCAGTGCTTCTCACAATGTGGAGTTTAATTGTTTAGGCACTGAACCTTCCTCTCAGCAAAGTGCGCAATAGTGGCCGCACTAACCTTGTTAACATCGACCAAGACAACAAGCAGCTCTTGGCTCCTTTTCCCGCAGCAGAGAAGATTAAAAAAAGGGACATGGCAACCTTAAAATGGCCAGATGTAAATTGAGCAATTTAACATCTATTTCAGCAAATTCAGCCTCCCTTTAATCTGCACAGCCACAAAGAAAATACAAAAGGTTAATACTGTATGTACCTTCACAAGACGACCACGCAAGTTTTCCCTTTGATCCTGATATAAAGCGTTTTCCCAATGAATGCAATATAGACCCTTTTATACTTGGATATGACGGTGCAAGTATGAATTGAAAGGAAACAAAGATAAAGAAAAAAAATTCAAGTAAACAATGGTGTCTCTAATTCAAAAAAAAAAAAGTTTAAAAAACAATATGAAGAACAAAAGCAATTGTATATGGATTTATGGCAGCGTAAAAAGCCAAGTGTTGATCTGTTAATTTGTGTTGGATTGAAATCAAGGTGCAAATTGCAACATGGATTCAATTAATAAAATCATTTCAAATGTTTTTTTTTTAAATTGAATATACTGTATTATGTTAAAATATCTCGATAAAGAAAATAAAATTGACATCCAAGATGGATTCTATAGGACCATTAATAAACATACAATTGTATTGGCAACAGCTCATTGGCAAACGCCGTGTGGGAACAGAAAGAAAGGAGAGGGACGAGTGACCAAGATGTCACCATGAATGGAGAAAGAAGACAGTTATTGTATTACATTATATATATATTTGTTATCATTGTGTTACCAATATGTACATCACTTCACCTTCTACTTTGGTTATTGTTGCCGAGCTGAGTTTACTTTAAGACACCAGACAGTCATGTCCATAAATGTGAGCAAATGTGTTTCAATGGACTGCATGCGGAAAGGTGACTGGTTGCATGATGGCCTAAAACCACGGCTTGATGAATAGCTTGGATGGCGCGGCATCTCCTGTGGCTTGGCTGAACAGCTATCTGTCGTCCAGCACAGGTCCAGAAGGTGCATGTGAGATAGAAAGGTGAGCATTGGACCAATCCTTTTCCTTGTCACTGCACTGGTTGGTAATTTAATCTAATACCACATGTCAGATCGATTTGTGTATGGTTATAGGGTACAAGTCGCTGGGAGGCAAGTGCTCCACAATTCTCTGCCAGATTCAATTAGTAGCCCCAGTGGTGATGTGGGTCGTGTGCATGGCAAAGACTGCTTATGTAGGTTCCTGTTGGGTGCTTGTCATAAAAAAAA